CCAAAGTTCAGTAATACGCTCCGCGTTTTATATTTCGCATTCGTGCCGGATCAAGAGGCGGTCCAGTAGGCGCCGCCCGGGGGGCGTCTACGTAAGACACGTATATTGATTTGTGAGGTGGGCTTCTTGGAGCTCTTGTATAGAGTTAAAGACTCCCAAGGCAGAGAGTTTCTGATTTGAAGTGCTGATGGGTAAATCAAGTGCGCGCTTAATTGCTTTCTTAAGAATAGCATCGACTCTGTCCTCTTCGTGTTTAGTCATTCGTAAGTACGGTATTGAATCATGTGTCAAAGCAACGCCGCGCGGTGCGCGCCTTCGAGTGGCAGGACCAGTGCCTAGCATGGCAACGCTGGCCAGACCAGACAAAATGAACGCCGGTGAGCTCGCACACCACGTCACGCTGAAATGTATTGGCGCCTTGACTGTGGCATGTAGCCATGCTCTTGCATGACAGACATCTCATGATTATCATGTTTGCACCAGTCACGCAGCTTCGTCATCCATTGACGTAACGTAATACCAAGCTTGGTATATAAGTAAAGCTTTCCGGAGCCCTCCACTACGGCGTCTCTCATAATCAAATGGTGGTTTTGGGACGTTAAACCCCACAAATCAATCATCAATGTATATGTAAAGCTAGCGAAACGGCCGTGAGTGCGTCATAAGTTTGGCATGTAGTCATGTTTTTACATGATACGCACGTCGTGATTATCAAGTTTGTATGTGTCATCTATGTCGTCCGTTCGCGTCGCGTAATACCATATTTGGTACATGCTAAGCATGTAGTCATGTTGATACATGACACGCATCTCTTGTTTATCATGTCTGCACCAGTATTAAACCTTCGTCATCCATTGACCTCCAGTAATACCAAATTTGTTATAAGTGAACCTGGCAAAACGGTCGCCAGCGCATCATGAGCGTGGCATGTATTCATGTTGTTACATGACACCTATGTCATGATTTTCATGTTAGGGTCTGTCGCTTGTGTTCACCATGCAATCATAACATACCATACCAGTTTTGCAACCTGCCATGCGAACGAAACTACCGCGAAAGCTGCAGAACCATGAAATATAAATCATGAAATTCATGGCTTCCATGTCATGATTTTCATGTTGCGACTAGCCAAATATGTGCTTCATACAGTCATGTTATGTCATGCCAAGTTTATGTCATGACATAACTTGGCATGTTATATCATGCCATTATCGAAACGGCCAGAAAAGCCAGAGATCGTAGGTGGCTGGATAGATAGATAGATAGATAGATAGATAGATAGATAGATAGATAGATAGATAGATAGATAGATAGATAGATAGATAGATAGATAGATAGATAGATAGATATACGCACAAGGTCGCCGAAGTTTGCTAAGAAATGCTTCGCATTTAGAAGTCGCAACTTTGCCGAAAAAGCGAAGCAATGAACATGATATCAACAAACTGGAAGGTTGCGAGCAGAATGGCAAGTAGATGGAAACGTGCCCCGCGTTTCTCACGCCCAAATAATGCACGAAACGTACTCACAGGTACAGGAAAATACGTATAAGCATCTCAGTTGATACTTCGCTGTGTCTGAACAGCGCACCCTTTTCGCAAACGGAGGCGATTGCGGTGCACGTTGTGCGCCAGGTAACTACAACAGAGTTGTTCCGTTGAAACTCAAAGGCTAGCCAAGACGCATGATCTTCACCACTGCAAAATAAGGGCTCGTGATCGAGCGTACACCCCCTTGTTCTCTACGGGGGCCAAAGTTCGCGTGAGAGATGAGAGCCGCCACTAGGGTGCCTCGATGTGCGCACCCCCGAGCAGAGGAGCGGGTATCGAGGCACTCTAGCCGCCGTGCGCTCAATGTGCCATCTTGCTGATAAGGCTGAAAACACTAGTACCCCCCCACCCCGAATATTTTGCCAACAGGGGTAAGTGATAAATATAAATAGCTTGCCGTTTGGACGTCGAAAGAGCTCCCTTCCGGTTGCAAAGTGATTAACACCTCGCAATAGACGCAGAGGTCCCTCGTTCGATTCAGCGTGCCGGAGTGTTTTTATAGATTTGGCTTTCTTGCGTTTTTATATATATAGACACGTATAAATATAACATGCATGATGCCGACGCCGGTGGTCCAGTCAAGCCGAGAGTGTCCATATAATTACTACCGCAATAAAATGCCTGCTCTATGAGCCGCATATACCTCCTCGTCGTTGCGAAGGACATGCGGGACGAAGTCCTCCCCGCGTGTCATGACGAGCCCACATATGGTCATCTAGGTTACTCTCGAACGCTCGCCAGAGCAAGCGGGACGTACTACTAGCCTTGACTTTTGGAAGCGTGCAGCAGTACGTTAAAAGCTGTCGTCAATGCCAGCGTTGAACGTCGCCACCAAGCAAGTCGGCTGGATTACTTCAGCCAATTGATCCACCCCACAAGACATTCGACCAAGTGCATAGACATTCTCGGCCCATTTCCTTTATCGGCCGACGGCCCCAAATGGGTCATTGTTTCAACTGACTATCTGATTCGCTATGCTGATACAGAGGCGATACCACGAGCCATGGTTTCTGAGGTAGCAAAATTATTCATGTACCACATTGTTCGGTACCACGGTGCTCCATCTGCAGTGATAACCGACAGAGGAACAGTGTTCACTGCAAAGCTTATGAATGAAGGTTTTCGACTAAGAAAGACTAGGCATGAAACGACGACTGCGTACAATTCGCAGAGAAACGAGCTCACCATGTACATCAAAGTCCAACACAAAACATGGGATACCATTTTGATTTATGTGACGGTCGCTTATAACACCGCTGTTCAAGAAACAAAGCTATTGACACCGTTTCGCCTTCTCCAAAGCCGCGAAGTTCAGACGATAATGGATGTTATGCTTCCTTGTGAAGACGCCGATAAATAAATAAATGATGCCGAAGAATTTTCAGAGCGGGCCGAGGAAACTCACCAGCTCGCAGGGCTACGACTGCGTACAATTCGCAGAGAAACGAGCTCACCATGTACATCAAAGTCCAACACAAAACATGGGATACCATTTTGATTTATGTGACGGTCGCTTATAACACCGCTGTTCAAGAAACAAAGCTATTGACACCGTTTCGCCTTCTCCAAAGCCGCGAAGTTCAGACGATAATGGATGTTATGCTTCCTTGTGAAGACGCCGATAAATAAATAAATGATGCCGAAGAATTTTCAGAGCGGGCCGAGGAAACTCACCAGCTCGCAGGGCTACGCATTAATCAGCAGCAACAGGTCGATGCACGACGTTACAACATTCGTCACAATGACGTATCTTACTGTCTGGGAGACCAAGTTTGGGTTTGGACCCCTGTTCGTCGCTGTGGCCTCTCCGAAAAGTTTCTAAGGAGATACTTCGGTCCGTATAAAGTGTTGCACCGCGTGAGTGACGCAAACTACGAATTCGTTCCGGACGCTGCGTCGTCAACATGGGTGCAACGAAGACGACCAAGCTCTGACATAGTTCGTGTGGTGCGCATGATGCCTTATTTTGCGCGTTCATAAAAGAACCTTTTCCTGTGTTTTTTTTATTTGTGCTACAGCGAATGCTTCATCATTGGTGAACTGTTCGCGTGTAACACTTGACTATTAGTGTCCTTTTCTATAGCTTTAGCTGCTTAGTTTTTTTTTCGTTTTTACAATATCTTTACACGATTGAGACGATGATTTTTTTTGTTTGTGAAGGAGGAATATTGCCACCTACTTCTAGTACTGGGTCGTATGCCAAGGCGAAGACTCGCACAACTAAAGAAAAAAGTGCCCGCTCTCCCCAGTTCTGGCGAGCGAGCCCAACCAACGCCTTTGGTAAGAGACGTGTTGCTCCGAACTCAATAAACTTTCTCTAGACACCTGGATCGTCGTGACAATATGTATACTTTTTTAGGGGCGAAGCTTCTTAAAGCGGCACCTGTTCATCCCTCGTCCTAGTCGTGGTGTGTAACCAGTCTTACATTTTGACCTGCAAAGTGGTGCCGGTGGAAGATTTCTCCTTTGCGTTGTTGAACGATAACAAATTCGTAGCGTGCGTGTTAACTAAAAGCCGGATTCTCCTGTCTCTCATTCCCAATTAGCAGCCATTGGCATGTACGTTGAGCACTATCTGACAAAAAAGGGTTGCTACGTTATATTCGCTAGGCGTAACCTCCTTCGTTTTAGAAAGGTTTAGCGAGCGTTGGGCCGCAGTGCCATGAATACAGTGAACTAGTATATACCATGAAATCGAGGTGGTTAAAGGTGAGAAGTAGACCCGAAGCGCAAGCCGTACGAAAGTGTGCGTGTGCCACCTCTCGTTTAGTCCTTGGAATGTCCGCTGTATGGCGGTGCTTCTATATCGGGAATATATGATGAAAAGATGCGAGATGGTGGTACTTGGAGTGTTGAATAGAAGGACGAACAGACACACAGAGAGATGCATGGATGGACTCACGGATGGCTGCACCGACAGATAGACGCATGGACAGACGCAGGGGCGAATGCATGGACGAACGCAGGGACGGACGCACAGGTGGACGTGTGGACGCACGACCAGACGCACGCACAGACAGCCGAATGGACGCACGGACGGTCACACAGACGGACGCATGGACAGACGGAAGCAAGAACGAATGGACGGACGGATGCTTCGCCGAAAGCTCCATCATTCACTCCGTAGATATGCTGCCATTTTTTAAAACTTCGACCTCCCTCCTCCCACTCACTTTGACCTCTTCAACGTCCCGGGCCTTGTGAGACTAAATTGGTAAAGCGTCGTGCTCGCTGAGCTGAGTTGGAGTGAGAACCCTGCAGTAAAGGAAGCGGTTGGAGCGACGTGACCAGTATTATGACAAAATCAGCGTCATGGGCCATGAGCGGAAGAGTCTGAAAACGCTCACACATCCTACGTTATGGTATAAAAAAATTAGTAGTCAAAAAACACATGTTAGTGTGTTCACAGAATTCGGTTTTGACCAGTCCAATGTCCACAGCACAGCTTCCCTACCTTACGTCACTGGGCCACAGGCGGCTGGAAGTAGAGGCTGGCTTATGCTCCTGGGCTCCTTTTTTCTTCCTCTCGCGGAAGTCGGGTGGAGGATCGAGACCGTACAGGCGCATCACGGACGTGTCGGCGTCCAGTGAAAGGTGCTTGGACATCAGCCACCGCGGATTCTCGATCACATAGCGCTGCAAAGCCAGCATGGGAACCGAGGCCATCGCGCAACTGACCGCCTGTTGCTGCCATGCGAAGCCAGCCATGGCGTACGCACACAGCATGCCCACACTTGTCGACACCTACATGCCACAAACATCGCAAGCGCTGTCAAGACAAATTTATTTTATTTGTTTACAGGTTATTTTCTAATTTTGTACGCGATTTACGCATGAGCTGATTTCATTTATGTTGCAAATAGCCGAGTGTTATTATATACAATTGGCTCCGAATCTGTTTTAACGGCTGCAAATGCTTCTCATTAGAGCACTAGAATATCTTGGTTCTATAAAACTTCGAAAAAGTCCCTAAATTGTGGTTTCTCTGCGACTCATCAAACTTCCACATTGAAGATTTTGTTTGAATATGGATAGTTTATACTACATCCACTCAAATGGTAGAGCCTCAGACTCGTAATTTGAAGGTTGTGGGTTTAGATACCACATACAGGAAAGGTAATTTGTCAATTTACATCATCATTGTCACACTAAAGCTAAATAAAACAATGAATCTTCTGCATGCTCCATTTGGGCTAATCATCTGGTCGATTCATTTCATTGTAGCCACCCTACCAATAACACAGAGTGCAATAGATGGAAACACTTGGACAGGTTGCTCACTTCGGAAAGCGATTGGTTAACACTCAGCTTTATAGGGCTTGTCCACAAAGCAGCTATCTATGGGAGAGACCATAAAATGTGCTCTTCGCAAGGATTAGATGGCGATGACAGGAAGGAAAATTTGTATTTTGGCTTGATCACTAAGGGATACTACCATCCATAAGTAGAATAACACTGACGTGGTTATAGGTACCCCTGGCTAATGATTCATTCATTCATCATTTGAAAAGAAGGCTTACTAATCAGCACGCAGCTGCAAGAGTGTAGCTTTCACTCCTAGGAACAACTTACAAAGCAATTCATTGTTAGCACACGTAGCGCAGTGTTGCAGACATTCAGCTACAGTGGCTGACTGCAGAGGGCGAAAGAGCGCTGCGAAAAACCAGGCGTGGATCGCAAATGTTTTCTCCTGAACTTTCCGCCGTTTTACAAGGACCAACAGTACGCATTGTTGCGGCGAAAATCGTGTCACAGCTTTCCATTATTATTATTATTTATCATTAATATTTATCATTATTATTATCATTGTTGTTGTTGTTGTTCTAGTTGTTGTTGTTGTTGTTGAGCAAGCCAAGAAAGCGGGTGGTAGCTCGAAATGTACCCAGGCGGGCCTAGATTGTGGCGCTCGAGCGCCAATTTCGTGCCTTCGTCTCGTGGCGGTGATAATTTAGACCCTTATAATAACGTCTTTTTACATTATGATTGCTTTACATTATGCGAACATTTTTACATTATGATTGATTTTACATTATGCAAACAAGCTACTTGAAATACGGTTTCAGGTGGTCTACGTGGACGATATCACGTCCACGCTGACGATAGTCACTCGGTGGCGTGAGAGGTACGATGGCGTAGTTCACGGGCTATGCACACTCAACCACGCGGTAGGTACCATAATAATTGGAGAGTAACTTGGGCGTTAAAAGAGGAGTGCAGGATGGCACGTGGAGCCAACAAGTGCCCCCGAACGAACGCTGCTGCAGGAGAATCGTCGTCGTCGTGGGTGTATTTCTGGCGCAATGTCTTCTGGCTCATTATTGCAATGTCTGTAGATAGTGGAGACCGCGACAGTGCATAATCATCGGTATGTTTGCGACCGGAACAATGTATAGCGCTGATGTCATAATTTTGAAGCCGAGGAGCCCAACGGGCAAGGTTTACCGATATATCCTTGAGCGAAGACTACCGGCATACTGCGTTGTGATCCGTTACTACATCAAAAGTACGCCCATAAAAATGAGGGCGGAACTTGACGAGAACCCAAACGATCGCCAGGCCTTCTTTCTCGGTGACACTATACTGTTGGACTTCACCTTGGTCAAAGTTCTGTTCACGTATGCGATGACATACTCGCCGAATCCAGAATTTTGTTGCGCGAGGACCAAACCGATGGTGTGGACCTCACTAGCCAGCCATAGGATCGTAGTGACGCAATAATGGTGCTGCAGTGAGGACACAACAAACGGTAGAGAAGGTGGGACAGCGCTTGGAAGACCGCGACGAAATATCGGTGGTGCTGCTTAAACGTTGGGTCAAAGGCGCAAAGTAGAGGTGAAAATGCGCACGAACCGGCGAAAGGAGGAGTATAACCCTATGAAGCTTAGCTGCTTCACAGTCGTTGGTGCGGGGAAGTAGGCAAGAGCAGGTAATTTAGCTGGGTCTGGAATTATACTGTGCTTGGATACGACGTGACCGAGAATCGTAGTGGCATCATTCTTCATTATTATTATTATAATTATTATTATTATTATTATTATTATTATTATTATTATTATTATTTGATTTTAATAGCTTAGCGCAAAAATTACAAGTCAATGCCGTATATGTTACGGCATAAAGCGAAATTAGTTGTCATGGCATATTTTCCAAAGCTAGATTTATTTATACTTTACCAAGCATTTTCCTGTTGTTGTGGGCCGCCATATTATTCAGATGCTGCGGTAAAAAAAAAAGCACGACAGTATAGCTCGAAAAAAAAATTGGCCCAAATCTACACATTACACTGTAATTGTCGTCCAGAACCAAGACGTCTTGCGTCTGGAGAGAGTGAACAAAACGTTTATTTGATGTTCTGCGCAAGAAAATCGCTGAATGGTATTCTGAAGGCGCTGCGTTAGAGTGCCTCGAGCGTGTAACGGAGGCGAACAAGCGCATCTAGCCACGTTAAACACGAGCGCCATCTGGCAGTTATCTTCGAAAACGAAGGCATGCGCGACCGCGCAGAAATATGCGCGCCAGTCATGGAGGTGATAAGGTGTAGAATGGAAAGCGACGGGCAGGTGCCACCACCGTACCGTCGTAGCAAAACGTTGGAAACACCTTCTTGAGCATCGCGTTGCTCTGTTAGCGCAGCGCGATAAACGCTCTAGTCTTTAGAGTATTTTGTGTGTGTCCTTTTCTAGTATAAAGTCAGATATACAAAACATAGACATGTTGTGATAGTGCCTCAAATATGCGCAATATTTGATTTTTAATTCACAATCGCACAACTATAAACGCTAAATCTTGAGCAATATTGGTGGGCGCTGCGGATGTGGTTGGCCGTTCGGTGCCGTTTGAGGTATCGTTAGGGCGGACAAATAGACAAATGTATAGACAGACAGACAGATGGACAGACACACTAAAATTTTTCCGTCGAAGGTCCCCAAGAAAGACTATCGTCTTAAAAAAAGATCAGCATATCCCACGTACTTTAATTGATGTTATGTGAAGCAAGCGAATGGAAGGTGACTGTGTTGTGATTTTTATATTCAGCAAAACATTATGAAGTGGCGTTAAATATAAGTACGCCAGACATACTTAGGACAGCCACATAAAATTTATAGTAGCACTTCTTCACTGTTTCACATGGATGCCAACAGGCACTTGGATATTAGCAACACCAGAAGCGGTCAGCTGATATGAACGCTGGTGCTTGCGCTGGGGCTCGCGAGGATGGTAGCCCTGAACATCGCTACATAAATCAACGTCAGCAGTTGGCACATAATTACAATTGGCATTAACCGGACATGACGGTTAAAGCATCTGAGTATATATGGAATGATTATAAAATTAGATAGCCAAAATTGTCTTCTCATGTACAATACGCTACATTTAAAAATATAGTTCCAAGACCTCGCTTGGCTCTATGGTATTATACTTGATTGCCACACAGAATGCTAAGCTCTGATTCCTGGTGATATCTTTGCATTTAATCTTTGCATTTGTTAAGTCCATGCTAACGACATCGGCTTTTAATTGATGCTCATGCCTTAAAGCTACCCTTGTGTGTTCTCGCAGTTCCTTGGTAGATATAACTGTCAATCTCCTGTGGCACGTACCTGCATACCAGTGGCACATACCCACCCGTGGGTATGTGCCACTGTCTGAAGGAAAGCGTTTGACGACCTACGCGACGGGATTGCCATTTTTCATGCCATGACCAGTGAGTCGTATTCGTCAAACCATCTTACCCTCCCATACTAATTTCAGTTTACACCAAGGGGGTGATCACGAGATCACTCAGACGTAGGCAGATAGATAGATAGATAGATAGATAGATAGATAGATAGATAGATAGATAGATAGATAGATAGATAGATAGATGCTCAAAGAGCCTGCAGTATGCAAAGAAAGACATCGCGTGTTATTTGCTTGAGATGAAAAAACACGAGAACTATTGTAAAGTGGCTAGACCTTCGATCGAAGGGAACGTGTCACGCCGAATTCCTTAGTGCGCTTGTGTACTTGTCACATCCTGTTTTTAATAACAAAGGAATTCTCAGCGAACTTCGGCGACTTTCAGCGAATATTTAGCTCTATAGCCGCTTAGGTGTGGGTGCTCTCGTCGTCACCCCCTTAACTTAGCGTGCACCAAAATTAGCATGGGAGGGTAACATGGTTTGACAAATATGACGCGCTAGTCAAGACATGTATAATGCCCCGATTCCATCGCGTACGTCGTCAAACACTTCCCGCCAGACAGCGGCACACACGGGCGGGTGTGTGCCGCTGGTATGCGGGTGTGTGCCACACAGTAAAAAATTTTGCACCCAAAAGGGTGTAAAAAGGGTGCTTTTACGAGAAAGCACCCTTTGCAACACCCTTTAGCACCCATAAATGGTCGATTGAAAAAAAAGCACCCCTTTGTTTGGGTGCTTGCCTCAATAGCACCCTAAAATAGGCTCTAAGGGTGCTTTTGTGCCTGAGAAGGGTGTAGGTGCCTATTCATCAGATGGAATATGCAGCATAAGAAGAACACATAATTATAATATTTGGGATTTTACGTCTCAAAAGCCTCGATATGATTATGAGGGTCGTCGTAGTGGAAAGCTGCAGAGATTTTCACCATTTGGTGTTCTTTAATGAGCGCTCATATCGCACAGTGCAAAGGCTTCTACCTTTTCGTCTCCGCATTAATTCGACTGCCACGGCCGGCATCGAACCCGTGACCTTCGGATTGGCGGCCGAGCAGCGCAGCTACT